GCCTGCTACAGTAAGTTGAAAACCATGGCGCACAGTCCGACGCCTGTGTTGATCAATATAATGCAAGAGTGACTCAACATTTATCTGTATACATGTAAGAAGTCCTGTCAGCAAGGTTAGCACAGGCACTATTCCAGCTAAGTCCGCCATTGCTCAAACTCGCCTAATGTATACAGCAAACAGCACATGCTCTGATGTTAAACAAAGTGGACAACGGCACACAATCTGACGTTTCGACATGTCGACACTGAAAACGGAGTTTCTTAAAATCATCACCTTGGGTGGAGTTTTGCAAAAGCTCAGTTTTCAGTGACCTGAGACGCGTTTACGTGTGGACAAAAGCCCAAGACGTATAGAAAAAGGTATGTTTTAAAATATACCCGTGTATGTGTGGACAAGGCATTAGTATCTATACATCTTGAAACCCAATCTTCACATTCTGCCTACAGCCCACTGAGGTCCTGCAGCTGAGGGTGGAGGTCGCTGTCCCAGGCACAGTTCCTTGCTCATGGCTGGACGTGTTTGGGGGCTCATTGTGGGAGGTGCCTGTTTAGAGGCTCATTGTGGGAGGTGCCTGTTTGGAGGCTCATTGTGGGAGGTGCCTGTTTGGNCTGCTTAAAACAGGCCGTTTGTTTTGGTCGTGCGCGGTGCCGCGGGATGCTTAGTCAGGTCTGTCCCAGCACCAGGCAGGCCGCGGGATGCTTAGTCAGGTCTGTCCCAGCACCAGGCAGGTCTGCCCAGCACCAGGCAGGTCTGTCCCAGCACCAGGCAGGTCTGCCCAGCCCCAGGCAGGTCTGTCCCAGCACCAGGCAGGTCTGCCCAGCACCGCACCGCAATTACAAAAATACTGGGAATCTTTAAAACGAATTCAAATGTCATCGTATTTTTCTTAATCTACTGCAGGTATAAAGTGAAATATACAGTTGGACATCATGCAGAGACATTATACTAATTCATTCCCTGGTTAATGCTGTTATTACGTAACCGGCTTGATGGATTATCATCCAGCTGCAGAACATGTCACCTCTCGCATTTGGGCTAATCCTGAAAAAGCAAACCCTTCGCATTTCTCAAGTGCACCCTACCCCCCGCCCCCCCCCCAAAGTTCCAGGGCCGCGACAGTGGATTTGAGAGAGGGGCTGGATGAGATTTCCCCGCAGTGGGAGGCTGAGGATGGGCCAGGAATTTGGCTCATTCCGGCATCACCGAAGCTACAGTCCCTCTCGGCTGAAAAATAAGGGGGTTTGATGCCATGAATTATTATAACTTGTTTCTTTTTGGGATAATCGCCCAGCAAGCTTCCTCCTTAGGGTGGGACTGCTCCAGCCTCATTGTCCAGGCACTTTTTTATCCTTCCAGAACTTTCTGGTACAGAGACGAGTACCTCCCGGCTGATGGGAGGACACAGTGCCTCGAAGATGAGCCAGGCCATTAAACACCAATTCTGGGGGATGGGGGGGTGTCTTATCTCTCCCCTGCCGCTGAGACCTCAGGAACTGACATGCAGAAAGCACAAAGGGGTGGGGGGTGAACGTACTCTAATCCCACGGCCAAGCTTCGCCAGCCACCTCCCTCTCCTCGTCCTTCTCTCCTCCTGCTCCTCCTCAGGTCCCCGCAGTGCCCCCACCCATGCCACCAACTCCCGGCAGCTCCAACACAACACCCTCCCCCCCCCACTAAAAACTCAGTGTAAGTGGGTCAGAGGCGCATTAAAAAGTGAAAAGCACAGTGAGACCTCCTGAACTCACACACACATACACACACACACACACACACACACAAACAGATTTGTAATTATATCTCCATTCATTCTATGGGCCTAAGCCTAATCCCAACATGACGACCTTAACCCCTACCCAGGCCTAACCTTAACCATAAGTAACCAAACAAAATATGAGACCTTCAGCATTTTTAGTTTCTCCACACACACACACACACACAAACAAACACACGCGCGTACACACATACGCACACACATACACGCATACACACATAAACACAGTCAATTGAACAGCTCCTCCTTAGCATTACCGACCTGCTTCCTTGTTTATGTTCATAGTGGGGGGGGGGGCATCTCCTGTGGGTCTGTGACAGTCACAGGGTTAGACACCCGGGGGGGCAGCTCATACGATAGGGAGAACCGCCGCGCAGGGGCTCAGGAAGTATGAAACAGAGACAGTTATACACCAGACATTGAAAAGTATACGCTTCTCTGTCCAAAGACATCCTGAGATTTTTACGCAGGTCATCAGTTTTCATTTTGGAACTTTGGACTTTGTCCAGGATGCTTTGGACCCGTGAGGTTGATGGGATAAGAGAATCCCCAAGAGATGTTTGGCTGGATGGGGGGGGGGGGGCGGAATCCCATTACATCACACAAGGCTATACATTGTTTTTAAAACACCCCCTCCCCCCATCTCCAGTGGAGTGTGAACTTTGTGTAAACAGTCAAATTTGTTGCACCGTGGGTTAGGTCACGGATGGGATTAATTTCAGGAGATGTTCTGGAACCTTCTCATCAAGGGGGCATGCCAGGACCGGCTGGGTTGTAGGTTGTGACCTCCTCAGACATTTAGGCCTTTTGCGAGTTTTTTGACTATGACAAGCTTCTTCACACATCTCTTCTGTATCCTTCCTGTTGTCCCCCGATCGTGCCGATCCTCCCGTGTGCCACGCGCCCTCATCTACCCCATGTGCAATCCCCGTGTTATCTGCTGTTTCTAGTCTTGTTAATTGCTGTTGTGTATTTAAGTCTGCGTTAGAGTGTGTTTCCCCAGTCCGGTCACTGACATACACGGGTACATTTTAAAACGGTGTTTTTCCTCCTCCGTTTAAAAAAAAAAATCCCCGTCCACACGAGCATTGTCTTCTAAAAAACATTTCCGTCCACATGAAAACGCTAAAATGCGCTGTCAAGAGCATGCCAAAACAACAGGCGGCATCAAAACTCTAACCGTACTGCCATGTTAGCCAATCAGAAGCCTGCTACAGTAAGTTGAAAACCATGGCGCACAGTCCGACGCCTGTGTTGATCAATATAATGCAAGAGTAACTCAACATTTATCTGTATACATGTAAGAAGTCCTGTCAGCAAGGTTAGCACAGGCACTATTCCAGCTAAGTCCGCCATTGCTCAAACTCGCCTAATGTATACAGCAAACAGCACATGCTCTGATGTTAAACAAAATGGACAACGGCACACAATCTGACGTTTCGACATGTCGACACTGAAAACGGAGTTTCTTAAAATCATCACCTTGGGTGGAGTTTTGCAAAAGCTCAGTTTTCAGTGACCTGAGACGCGTTTACGTGTGGACAAAAGCCCAAGACGTATAGAAAAAGGTATGTTTTAAAATATACCCGTGTATGTGTGGACAAGGCATTAGTATCTATACATCTTGAAACCCAATCTTCACATTCTGCCTACAGCCCACTGAGGTCCTGCAGCTGAGGGTGGAGGTCGCTGTCCCAGGCACAGTTCCTTGCTCATGGCTGGACGTGTTTGGGGGCTCATTGTGGGAGGTGCCTGTTTAGAGGCTCATTGTGGGAGGTGCCTGTTTGGAGGCTCATTGTGGGAGGTGCCTGTTTGGAGGCTCATTGTGGGAGGTGCCTGTTTGGGGGCTCATT